TTTATATTTGTAACTGTTAGTGTGACGGACCAGAATGAAACAAATCAAACTTAAGAATACACACCTGATGATGGCCATTTAGGGCCGAAACATGTAGTGTGGAAGAGGAAAAGAAGAACTACAATTAAATTGTTACACTTAAGATGGTGTTTGTCTCATATATATTCAAAATGTACTTATTTTATTTTTCTCACCTGTTAATGCTAACTTTAATTTTTCTCACCTGTTAATGCTAACTTTAATTTTTCTCGGAATTATTATTAATTTATTGCCCTTGTATAGAGTGTCATATTTTGTTCCTTAATTATTTTTGTGTATTTCTAGGTACTCATGCTAGCTTTGTAACTGGCCTCTGTGCTGTTAAATTTGCATGTAAATAAACATGAATTGAGTTGAATTATTAATTACATTAATGTATCTTTGCTCCAGTGCTTACATTTAATTAGTCTCTGACTTTATGTTGTATTTGTCCATATGGAATTACTTTTATCTACACTGTGCAGTGTCTGCAATTGGTATCTAACAGAAATGAGTACCAGCAATCTTCAGGGGGTGAGGGAATGGGTGGCCAGCGCGTAAGGCCAACAACCTTCCCACCATTTGTGAGCTGATTGCCTAGAGAAAATGTGGGAGCCTCGACATCTCACAACTCTAAGGGCCTCCATGGCCTGTTACAGGGATAGCTTTACCTCTCAAGTTATTTCCTTTACAAGGAAAAACAGAACTACTATGGTTTAGTAATTAATTCCTTACAGTGAAGAAAGCAGTCTTCTGGGATTTGGCACCGTGTATAAGTGGTGTTAACCGACGTTTCGGAGGAACGTATCGCCTCCATCTTCAGGGTAGAAGAAAAAGTATAAGAAATCTGCAAGCGACAAGACCGGTACTCACGGTCTTGTCGCTTGCAGATTTCTTATACTTTTTCTTCTACCCTGAAGATGGAGGCGATACGTTCCTCCGAAACGTCGGTTAACACCACTTATACACGGTGCCAAATCCCAGAAGACTGCTTTCTTCACTGTAAGGAATTAATTACTAAACCATAGTAGTTCTGTTTTTCCTTGTAAAGGAAATAACTTGAGAGGTAAAGCTATCCCTGTAACAGGCCATGGAGGCCCTTAGAGTTGTGAGATGTCGAGGCTCCCACATTTTCTCTAGGCAATCAGCTCACAAATGGTGGGAAGGTTGTTGGCCTTACGCGCTGGCCACCCATTCCCTCACCCCCTGAAGATTGCTGGTACTCATTTCTGTTAGATACCAATTGCAGACACTGCACAGTGTAGATAAAAGTAATTCCATATGGACAAATACAACATAAAGTCAGAGACTAATTAAATGTAAGCACTGGAGCAAAGATACATTAATGTAATTAATAATTCAACTCAATTCATGTTTATTTACATGCAAATTTAACAGCACAGAGGCCAGTTACAAAGCTAGCATGAGTACCTAGAAATACACAAAAATAATTAAGGAACAAAATATGACACTCTATACAAGGGCAATAAATTAATAATAATTCCGAGAAAAATTAAAGTTAGCATTAACAGGTGAGAAAAATTAAAGTTAGCATTAACAGGTGAGAAAAATAAAATAAGTACATTTTGAATATATATGAGACAAACACCNTGGGTTAACCATCCATTTTTTGTTTAGATGTCCTTGAGCTGAGCATATTTGTTGTGCTGTGGTTGGCCATCAACACAACAAATTCCCGCCCCAGCAAGAACATTCAAGACAGCCACAGACAAACAAAACCATGAAGCAAACACCAGCAACTCAAGGACACCTAAATAAATAATAATAAAAAAAAAACAGATGACTAACCCACATAACCAGATGCAATCCGAGGTCTCCACATAACAGAAGCAAAACAGCATTACAGCGAGCAGCAGATTCTGCAATCACAACAACCTGTACACCTGAAGATGGCAGGTTGGGCTGAAACATGTAGTGTCAATAAAGAAATTCAAATGAATAGTAACCGATGTTGCACATCGACGGCATCAAAGCAAGACACAAATTTGAATGATATCATGCATATGTGTTACCCTCCTGTATGCAAACATAGTAAAGCAAGAGAGGCAGTTTGTTGGACACATAAGTATCAGTCTGACATGGTCACACACATCAAACTGACATTTCTTCCTGTAATACTGTAATAGTATCTTCCTGTCATGTTTTGGTCTTGACATGCATAGATTTTGACTTCAGTCCTGATTTTCACAGATTTTCACCTTGGTCCTGACTTGCACAGATTTTCACTTCGATCCTGACTTGCAGAGATTTTCACTTTAGTCTTGACAAGCACAGATTTTCATTTCAGTCCTGACATGCACTGATTTTCACTTCAGTCTTGACATGCAGAGATTCTGGTGGCATAGCTGCAAGAGAAAAGGCTATCTGAAAGAGCCATGCATGGATGATAGGACAGCATAATGGACATCAGAGAAATGCTGGAACTTGCTCATTATGACTGTACAGCAACAACTCCTTCCTCTTATGGCAGACGAGTCACTTGAGGTCTCATGCTGGTGAGTCGCAGGCCTGAAACAATTACATGAATAGCATTAAAAACATATTCTGACTTGCATGCAAATCTGTACATACGATTTCAAACTTGATCCACTTTCAATTTCAATAAAATGTAAAACTTCTATGTGACTTGCAATTACACAAAAAATTTATGGTTGTATAACATTCCTGCATGATTATACTTGGAACATTCCCCCCCCAAAAAAAAACACACACACACACACAAACATGTTTGCCGATACTCTCAGGTCCAGTTTTCGCCCCAAGATTGAAAAATACAGTGCAATGGTAAATGTGTGAGACTTCTGACAAGCTTGTCAATACAGATCAAGTATTTGCTTGTATACATGCTGGCCTAAAGAAAAGGTACTAATAAGACCCATACACTAAGGAAATTTTGTTCAAAGATATCTCCATATTAGAACACTGTAAAAATATATAAAAGTAAAGACTTCAGCTCCTTAAAAATGGGAAATTAATTTCCATTCCCTTACAAATGCAAGCCATGCAATACTGCACTACTTATATATCAAAAATTTCATGGAAGAACTTATGCTTATTTTCCATTTCCAAACTCTTGTCCAACCAAAATTCCCAGTCAATAATTATATAATTCTGTCCTCTACATTTCAGCTACTACAGGCAAAACACCATGATATCCATAGCCACATTTGTAATTTTCACTGTTTCACAAACTCTGATGTCAGTAAAGCTTTTATAAAATGAGATTATTAGCGGGGACCAAATATTGGTTCTAGAAGAACCGGAAACAAAATGGAACAAGAATATTCAAGCACAATAACAAACGTCAAGGACACTCAGCCCATAAAATGAAAATGCTGATGTTCCCCAGAAATTGAGTTATATATCAGTTCCATCATTACAAAAACAATGTTAACATTCTGCTCAACAATTAATAAAATATGGCTACAAACCACTCAAAGACTATGCAAGGCATGGAAAATTGATGGGAGTCAACACAAACTTTCATACTGCAAAATTATTTGCAAAGAAAGTAATTGAAACAGTGAAGCTTCATTAGTTACACTTCACTATGACCAAGCTCATACTTACCAATACAGAAAAGTGTTTAACACAAAATTTGTATAAACTTTTAAACTCTCCTTAATGAAAAATTTCATGAGCCAAATACAAACTAATCTATACTGTGAAGTGCTGTTTCATAAGTACTTGTAATAATATTTTTTTTCTAACAAATAACGAATCATATAAACCTGCGTAACATTTCTAAGAAGTCCTTCCCTCTCTCTCCAATATGATCCCATAATGGCATATTTCAAATTCTCAATTTCCAACACGAGTATTAGGAGTAATCATTATTTTGCAAATAAAATAACTCTGCCATCACATGACATATATGTTTCATTCCACAGCATACTAACTGTGAGTTTGTTAATTCTTTCGGTCACAGTGACGGGTTTACATTTACAACCACCTCAGAGCTGAAGCACAGACACGTTCAACCATAACCCAACTGCAGAACTGCAGCTGCACCTCTAATAAGAGTCTATATATATTCACGTAGATGTACGATGAACAATATTTGTCAAGTACACTAGTCTCTTGCTTACTTAACAAATTTATATCAAATAATCAGAGCATACATTACAAACATATCACACATGTAACGTCACACTACCTCAATGTACGTAAATATTACCGAATATTACTAATTAATTAAAATCCTGTAACCTTAATTGAATTTAACATAACCAAACTGCCCCCCTGCCTCCTCCCAACTGTCTAACCGGTCTAACTTGACAAGCGAATCAAAACTAATTCTTTAACAACATAGGTATATCTATCTGCATCGTCTGCATCTAACTACATTGCACTTTCGCTGTTTGAAGCGAACTGTGTTGGCATTGGCCCAAATGCTGCAACGCTTACAGCGATTGTGATTGGTCGATATGATTACGTGATTTGGTGATTGGCCTGTCGTGACATCTGTCGTCGGGATTATGACACTATCTGCAGATGGAGGCAGGTTTTAAACTGTTTTTGGTTTTTGCTAAGATACATTAGATCTCAGCTGACTAGCCTGGATAGCTATGCTGTTTTCAGGCTAGTTGTCATGTGCAGCAATGACCAGGCTAGGTTATTCTTCAGGAATATATATGCTTTTACCGTTCTCACGGTCTTGTCACTTGCAGATTTCTTATACTTTTTCTTCTACCCTGAAGATGGAGGCGATACGTTCCTCCGAAACGTCGGTTAACACCACATATACACGGTGCCAAATCCCAGAAGACTGCTTTCTTCATATATATGCTTGTTCCACAGTCATTATCTAGCCACTTCAAGTCCCCATCCGAACATAAATTCTATGATAATTAGACTGTTCTTGGTCTGGATAAATTTTGGCCTGTTTGCTGTGAGTGAGGGATGGGAGTAATGGGCTACTTATGCCTGGAAACATTGGAAAATTAGGCTTTTCTCTTGCCTTAGCTAGGTCTCCTGCTATCCTAGGCAAGGCCCATGGTGGCTGAATGCCCTGGCTGTCCCGTTCAGGGCAGGATCAAGTTAGCCTGAACATTTCACACTAACGCTAGCTAGACTAGGCTCAGGCTACATGACTGAGGTTGGGAATCTTTCTAGGTTAAGGACTATGGAAAACTTGGATAGGCTGTACTGGTAAAGAAAAGAAAAAGAAAGGTAAAGCTATCCCATTAACAGGCTGTGTAGGCCTGTAGGGTTGTGAGTCTTCAAGGCTCCCACATTTTGTAGAGAAGAATCAATAACCATCTGTACAATATCTCTGCATTCTTAACTTATAAAATATGGGCAGAACAGAGGAAAAGGAACGTGTGTGAAATAATGTATATGGTATGGGCATATCTGATATCAGCAGAAACTTTTATTCAATTGTAACTGTAACTGTAATTTATTTCGAGTTCCAGATGATCCAGTAAAACTGGTTACAAACCATAGGATATAGAACATGTCAAATATTAATTAAAATATGTCAAGATAAGCAGAAGAACATAAAAGTTCAATACAATCATAAGTACAGTTTAGGTATAAGTTGAGCTCAAGTAAATAATTAGAACATGTCAAAATTATAAAGCAATAAAACAAATGATATAAAATACAATAAGTATTATCATAAATACAATAAAACTATTATACAGATTTTTTTTTCCCCCTTGGCACTACAGCCCCAGTGGGCCTAGGCCTACCTCCATGAACATTATACAGATAAGACTAATATAATTCAATATAGAGTAACAAACATACTATTCATATAAAACCATTAGTTTACAACATCATTCATTAGCACTATAATACTCCTCCAAGTCATAAAAACAATGGTTAATCAAGCATCTTCTCAAAGAAATCTTAAATTGCTTGTGTATTCCAACAATCCCCTTTATTTCAAGAGGCAGATTATTAAATAACTCTGTAAAGTAAACACCTTTTTGGTACAGTGTTAAGGTGGAAGTTGGGAGATATAAATTACTACTCTGCCTTGTCTGGAGATTATGTGCATCATGATTAGTAGTGAAAAGTTTTCTATTCTTTGATACAAAGAGCAAAACTGAATAAATATATTGTGACTTCAACAGTAAAATTCCAAGCTGCCTGAAAAGATTTTTACATGAATGCCTATTACAATATCCTGTCATTAAACAAAGTGCTTTTTTTGTATCATAAAGAGTTTCTTAGTACTGGTTGCCTGCCCCCAAAATACAATTCCGTATGATAGTATAGAATGAAACAGAGAATGATATATCTTCACCAACGATGAGCCTGACATATAAGGTCTGACAGATCTCATCATAAAGCAAACTGTAGTTTGTTAATAACTGAATCAATATGTATATTCCAAGAGAGGACGTTATCAACCTGTCAACAAGTTTCAGCTTCACATATGGCAAGGTACTGATGGTACGTCCGAGGCACGTCTGGAATCGCACACTCTCTGCCTTTCCAAACCTCAGGCAGCCGCATCCACATATCCCAGTTCCACATCTGAACACTGAACATAAAACATAATTCTTACACTGGCATTATGATCAAGAAAGTTATTTGATCCCAAAAATGTAATCCATGTAACTGAGATAAAATTATAGCAATATATAAAAGCTAAAATTTTACTTCACTAAAATATTAATAGTTGTTCTGGGAAGAATTTATAGTATTTTCTTAATTAAGTATGATATATTTATCACGAGTGACCAGTTAATTACAAATAATTCCAAGCCTAAAATTGTAGAAACTACATTCACCAGTTGATAAGAGTTCCCTATCCAAACAACAGAAGTAACAATGAAATCAACAAAAATGACAACAAATACAATAAAATGCAACACAAAGAATTATAACGACAGCATAAAAAAATATGCTTCATGAAGTCCAGAAGCTTGAAGACTTCTGGGCTACAAATAGGTACCAACTTCTTGGGAGGAAATCAGTAGACTGCATTTTCACTTAGACCATGAAGATGAAGGCAGCAGATTCCCCACAGTGCTGATACCTATGTGCTGAAAGATACAGTGTCGTAACCCAGAGATCCGTAATCTTCGTACTTACCTCTTTTGAGAACTCCAAGCTCATATGCATATAGCAAAGGTTTCCCTTATCCTTAAATGAAACCTACTTTGAATTATACGTAAAGGTTCAAGCCTATGCCTCATCCTTTTAGATATATTCTAGTTAAAGTTCCTCTAATTCTACAATACCAAAATGTACTAAACCTTCTCAGGTGTTGGCCATTTGAATTCCAGCTCATCTTTATAAAGATCTTTTAAGGATCCAGCCGAGCCCTGGCATGGTTTCCACTCTGTATAACAAGCTTGGGTCACTGCTGGTGTGCTCATAACCCTGGTCATTCCAGGTGGAGATGCAGTAAAGTGTCTTGTCCTCCTCCAGCAGTCTCTTAGGCTGGCTGAAGTAACTGCAATGTACACACTGTACCACTATTCGTATTAATCTGCTTACACATTTGGCAAACGTTCCATTCCTTGGATTAAAATGAAGTGACTTGATGGAGTAAAGTCTTCGAATAGCTGACAGTCTTATCATCTGGCCATGAAACATCTTCAACTTCTCTAACCTCTCGTACTCGTAAGCTGGACCTTGTCGTGAACCACCTGGAGCAAGTGTACAATCTCAAACCTTCTTTTTCAATTTTATGTTCCTTGTACAGGTCGCCCATGTGATGTCGTTCCTTTACTATATTTGAATGCATTCATCCTTCTCACAGTGCTACATTCCCAGCCTATTTTATTCTCCTTGATGTGACACACACAGGTTGAAACTGTTCAAGGTTTAATCTGGATAGGAAACAAATGATCACTATATAACTGTATACAATCATACAGACTTTAATTGTACAGATGTAGTCAGTTCTATAAAATGTTTCACTACTGAATGAAGACTATCAGGTGGATACTGGAGAATATACAGGGGTTTACTGTAGTAACAGTTCTCACCTGAAGAAGTCTGGAGACACATCCAGATCTTCTTCCACAATAATTACATATTTGGTATTGGGAAATATGTTGAATGTTGCTGTCAGAGAAGCCTTGTAGTACTGAGATATTCTGGCGTTCTTAATTCCAATTGGTGTGTGCTGAATTCCTTGCAATCCAAAGAGTTTTGTCACCTCAAGAGGTTCCTCAAAGTAGCCATCAATAAAGACTGTTATCATCTCTGGATTTGCTCCATGTGCAGAGAGGAGAGACCTCAGCATCCTGCACAGACAATAATGCACTGAGAATTATATCAGAGTATTTATAAATATGATGCCCTTAGGAGTAAATGGGGGAAGAATGAAAGTGTAAATTAATCAAGCGTAGAGACAATTCTGCTTTTCTGATAGTTTAGGTTCTGCTTTACAGTCAAAGGGCCTGAAACTCAGTGCTTCAGTATTACCTGTACAAGTAATGAGGCCTGTTGCTTGCAATGACAGCCACTGGTACATCATGAACCTTATTATTCACCAGCTAAACAAAAGAAAATCAGTATTTTGTTATTAATTTATTGCAAAATTACAGCTGATAAAATGAAATATGAGATGACTTGTGAAATACACTTGCGAAAAACAATACGTTAGTTGAGAGGGATATAGAAAATGTAGGTACATACATTATGACACTAAATTTCTTGGCTTGACTGCTGAGAGCTCCTTGACATGGGGAAAAACATACTGAAGAGGTTATATATAAAATTAGCTCAGCCTGCTACATACATACATACATACATATTTATTTCGTTCCAGAGATCTACAATTGGCAGTGCTGCCTTGAAATATAGAACATGTCAATAAAAAGTACATTTCAAATGATAATTGTTAAAAATTAAATATCCAAGACATTTAAAAAGGCTACATATAATTGTAGTACATTAACAGTTGTAGAACACAAACAAGTAACACATCAAACCAAATCACAGACACGACACCGAAACAAACAATGTCAAAAATCAGGTGCCATTCACAACAATTATAAACAAAACCAGACAGATAATATTATATTCTAGATGTGACAAATAATAGGCGCAATCTTTATCTATAGGAAGCACAATCATTCCTTGATTTCCATTCATAATACTGTAACGTGTTTCCTCGTTACTGAATAGGCCGTAGAGATGGTTAATTGGTTTATTTAACAATCTACAAATAACGGCTACAATTACTTATCACACAGTTGCGGGGTTTCACACTTTATAACCCTAATCGCATTAATCTGTTAACACTGTTGCGGGGTTTCACGATTTCTAACCCTATGCGCAAATCAGTTCACTCTGTCTTCAGTAGTCTACACGTTTACCGTAGGGGAGCTTTGTATCACTGTATCACACGCTCCCAATTACACAATCGCACACACGTC